TGTTTTATCCATTAAATATCAATAATTTCATGCTGTAGATATGTGTATAGATTAATTTACTAGGATTTTCATAACATTGTTTTATAGAAGCAAAAAAAAAAAGAAGGGTAATTTAGTAGAATAGGGTCTGTTTCAGTCTGTGATGGACTACTATTCTCATAAGTGAGGATATTATGTAATAATTTTTATTTTTAAATCAACTTTATTAAAGTTTTAGATACAATCAAAACTTGGCTGTACACATTTTAAGTGTAGTGTCTAAGGTTTGACCAAAAAAAGTTTAGACCTGTTTCACCACCACCCTGATCAAGATACAGAACACTGCCATCACTTCAGAAAGCTTCCTAGTGTTCCTCTATATTCAATACTCATCCTCCTTCCTACAGACAACCACTGATCTGATTTCTACCACTATAGTTTTGTCTGTTTTGGAACTTCAAATAATTGGAATCTTCTCACTTCTGATGCTTAGTATGTTTTTGAGATCCATTCATGTTGTTGCAGATATTAGTAGTTAGGTCCTTTTTATTGGTGAGTAATACGCCATTGCATGAATATGCCATAATTTGCATATCTCTTCACCTTTTGATAGATATTTGGTCTGCCATGGATAAAGGTTCCATGAACATGTTGTGATTAGTCTTAGGTAAATAACCTAGGAATGGAATTGTTCAGTCATATGTTAAATATATATTTAACTTTATAATTAACTACCAGGTTATTTTTACTTTATGTTCCCATCAGCAGTCATGAGAATTCTAGTTCTTCCACTTTCTTGGCAAAACTTGGCTTTTCCACTCTTAACTATTCTGTGGACATGTAGCCTTTGTGTTTTAATCTACAAAATTGAAAAGTATATCTTACTGCTTGCCAGTTATAGGAGTTTACAATTTTTTACAAACTGCCTCTGAGGAACTACTGACCCTTTAATTACTTTCTTATATGTTATAGGAGGTCAAGATAATATTCTGTTTACCACAAAGACTCCTTGTGGTACATAAAGTGATTGACTTTGTCATATTTCTGTCCTTACCTAGTCTTCATTATATACAAGTAGTCATACATATTCTGACTATTTAGAGCTTTCCCCCTCCTGCTTCTGGGAGTGTTTATATTAGCTTTGCAGTTTCCTCAGCTGGCTAACGTTGGTAAATAAAAGTTTTATTCAAAGCTATTCCCAATAGCTAGCTAAAGCATTTTCTGATGGGGCCAAATTTTGGTCTTATATAAAATTGAAAAAAAATTATCATGTGTATCTTTACAATGCTGAAGTTACAGATTAAGTTTGGTATCATCTAGTTGCCTAAGGAAGCAAAATTTTGGTCTGACTTGTGAGTTGTTTTTTGGTAGTCTTTACCCCCCACCATTTTAAACATACCGAAAAGTTGAAGGAATTGTGTAATGAATACCCTGCACACCTACCACCTGGATACTATAATGTTTTGCTATATTTATTTAATCATGTATCTGTTGAAAAATTTTTGATGGTGTGTTTTTTTTTTTAAACAATTTATTTTATTTATACAAGAACTGGGGTACAGGCCAGATGCACGGGAGGGTGAGAGGATTCACCAGAGGTAGAGTGGGGAACAGAACAGGCAGACTGACAAAATACACTGCTGAGGGGAGCAGTGGGCGAGACAGGAGAGTTCTGCTCGCCATGTGGGTTGCTTCAAGGCCGGCGGGAATCGAACCGGCACTGCAGAGGCTGTGAACAGCTTTGTAGCGCTGTGCTCAACCACCTGCACCCCCAGGGAGGCCCTGATGGTGTGTTTAAACTACTGTCTTTTGTGGAAGAAGCATAGATGGGTAGAATTTACTGGTCATTTGGTACTTTTGCACCATGTAGGACTTACTCTGATGCAGTGGTCCTATGAAAGGGGACTATTTTGTGATTAACATCAGCATTGGTTGAGAGCTCAATCACTTATTTTCAGAGGAATCCCAACTAGATTAAATTACAAAGACAGTAGAAAGGCAAGTGAAATCCCTAATAGAAAGGCTCCAGTAGGCCAGAATCCCACTCACCTACTTGCCCAACAGATAGAAATACTATCATATGAATAGCTACTATTCATTGAATAGTTGCCATGTTACAGAATTGTACCTCATTTTAGTTCTCAAAAGTCCATTAACTATAGGTATTATTAGCCCCATATTATGGATTAGGAAATTATGCAGTTTAAAATTAATGAATTTAAATAATTTACCTGAGGTCCCATCTGTTATGATTGTACACAAACCCAGGTCTGTGACTCCAGAACACACTCTTTATGCCAGAAATCTGTACTGCTGAGAGTTCTCTTTATTGAAGAATTTATACTTTGCATTCATTTATGTCTTTAAAATTGTCCAAATTGGGCCACACCTAATTTGAGCTTGGTGTAGTAGCATTCTTCTTTTTTAATATTTATTTATGCATACAAGAGCTGGGGTACAGGTCAGAGATGCGGGGTGGGGGGGTGGGTGAGAGGATCCACCAGAGACAGAGTGGGGAACAGAACAGACTGACTGAAATACACTGCTGAGGGGAGCAGTGTGCGAGACAGGAGAGGTCTGCCTTGCCATTTGGGTTTCTCCCTAGTGGGCTGGAGATTGAACTTGTGCTGCAGAGGCTGCGTATTGCTTCATAGTGCAGTGCTTAACCCCTTTCGCCACCAGGGAGGCTCTGTAGTAGCATTCTTGTGGAAAAGATGTCATATAAACAATTTTTGACTATAAAGTCCTCTTCATTTTTGATCGGGCTGGGGGGGGGGTCCTTTATGAAATCATTATCCTGGGGTTTTTCTGGCCTCATTTGATTCTCAGACAAATGAAGGAATTATCAGGTTTGTATTAAAATTTAGAATGTATAGCATTCCTTCTATACTTGAACCAAATAAAAATTAGCAAGTATGTTTAAGATGTGATAACTGGTAGTTCTTTCCTGTCTTTTTTTTTTTTTTTTAAGAAGTTTTTAGAATGACAATCACTTTGAAGCTTGGCCTTACTAACAGAGAAGTGAAATCTAAGCAAACTTCCTTTCTCTCTGGCTACTGTTGGGATAAGTAAGCCCCACTCAAATTTCTCTGGCCATTTTTTTAGGGTTTATTCTAGTGAGTGACCCGAGAAATCGTGAAAATTGTCCAGGTGGAGATCTGAGTCCAAATCCCGTTTTCTTTGTGTGTTACCATCCTGCTCTATGATCAAAGAGTTAATCATTGGTTGTTTTTTTTTTTCTTCTTTAATCACTAGCCTGACCTGATACAAATTTAAAAAAACCAAATTTCCATCGGTGGAAGAAGCTCTGTTTTCTTCTACAGCTAATCAGTTGTAAAATTACTCTTTTTTTTTTTTTTTTTGCATGTAAGTTAGACTTTGGGCTGTGGAATGTCAAGAGTGCTGAATTTACTGGCTATATTTTAAAGCTAAAATGCGGAAGGAAACTAGCTGTGTAATCTCCCCTGCCTGTTGTTTATGTAAATGGATGTTTCAAATCCCAGACTGACAGAGACAACTCCAATGACTGAAAAGTGTGTGGAAGGCTTGTTACTAAAGTTTACCATAATTTTCAGGAACAAAAATACGTTAATGGCTTAGAACAGGACAGAACAAGAGTTAAACTCTACAAGGTAGATAAACCTTTTTATCCAATGGACTGAGGCCAGGTGTGTGTTTCCTGACTATCTGGGATAGCCATGGGAGGGAACCCCCAGGTCAGCTTTGCTGCCTAGTGGGTTTTGCTGAGACAGCAGGCTGGGTCAGCATTCCAGGAAGGTAGTTGGTTTACTGAGTTTTGTGAGACTCAGCATCTTTCTTGACAAAATTTTTGTTCTTTCAAACCTTGTACCTTTTTTTTTTTAAATATTTTTACATATTAGCTATTCTTTTTTTTAAAAGATTTATTTATTTATGCATACAAGAGCTGGGGTACAGGCCAGAGGTGTGGACGGTGAGAGGATTGACCAGAGACAGAGTGGGGAACCGAACAGGCAGACTGACTGAAATATACTGCCGAGGGGAGCAGCGAGTGAGACAGGAGAGGTCTCCTGCGCCGTGTGGGTTGCTCCCTGGCTGCCTGGGGATCGAATTCGTGCTGCAGAGGCTCTGGATTGCTTCATAGTGCGGTGCTTAACCCCTTGCGCCACCAGGGAGGCCCTCAAACCTTGTACCTTTTATACCCAGTGAAACAGGAAGGTAAATAAGTAGGTAGGTTTTCTGTATAACTTTAGATCTATATCTTTTAGTTTGAATTAATTGCATAGGGCTTTAAGTGAGAGAGCTCAGAGCAGAAAAAAAGATTGAATCCTAAGAGAGATTAATTGAAGTGATTGGGAGAACAAAGGAAATTGGGGCAGATAATGACATTTTAGAGAGGTCATCTCCTTGCCTTAAAAAAAAGCAAGTGATAGAAAGAAACTAGTGTGTATGAAGATAAAAGCATTTAACTCTCAAGGCGGTGAAACTTTGTATAAAGCAAAGTTGACTGATGAAGTTGACTAATTTGAGTAGATTTTGAGATATATGTCAAACAGTTATCTGAAGTCGTACTTGTTGAGTCTTTACAAATTAAGGAAATACATGTTGTGAAAATTTTCTTTCAATAGAACTCCCAGGAGGTTTAAAAAGGATAAAGTCTAGTTCAAATAGCAGGATTGTTCACTTTTTATTATATCCATGCTTAGTGAGGATGAGGAAATTGGACTATTTAGTTTTAAAAGCTTCATTTCCTTCTTAGCTTCACCTTCTCTCCCATGTGTTTTCCTGAAGCTGTGTATGGGATTGAGTGTAGAGGAAGGGTAGGTCCTCTCACCTGTTTCCATTTTCTCCCCTTACCATAAGTTCACACTTTTCCATATTGTGATCTATTAGAACATAAGTAGCTTTTCTGGAACCAAATTAATCTCTCGATTTTATGGTTCATGCTTTGTGACACTGGAGTTGGGGGCAGGAGGGTGGAGATATAAGGTGTTTGGACCCTTCTGGTTTATGGGATTGTCTTTTTCCCTTTTTCCCCTTAGGAACGGCGTGAATGTTGAGGGGGCGACACACAAGCAGGTGGTGGACCTGATCCGAGCAGGCGAGAAGGAATTGATCTTGACAGTGCTATCTGTACCTCCTCATGAGGCAGATAACCTAGATCCCAGTGACGACTCGTTGGGACAATCATTTTATGATTACACAGAAAAGCAAGCAGTGCCCATATCGGTCCCCACATACAAACATGTGGAGCAGAATGGTGAGAAATTTGTGGTGAGTGTCAGCCCAACTCAATCCTCAAACATCTAGCTTTTGCTCCCCCAGCCTTATTTATTATATATGTGAGAGCCCTAGAATAAAACACTGCAATATAGGTCAGCTTGTCTTCCAGGAAAATGGGTTCAAACAAAAAATGCAAGACACTGACCCTGGTGTATTGCTGGAGATGAACTACAGTAATGAAGACAGGTTTTACTTCTCCTTAAGTTTAATTCCATTTTACTTCCAGACTGTTTGAAGTGTGCATTCTGGCCCATTGTAAAGATGTGCGAGTTCTGTTTTGTTTTTGTTTTGGCAATACAGAGGGCAATGCAGAGGTCTGTCCGTGTCACAGTCTACAAGTTCCCTTCGCTTCCTCTCCACGTCTTGATCTTTCTCATCTTCTGTGAAGTTATCTGTGTGATTAACTCTGGTTTTTCCCAAGGTCCTAATTGTATTGTAAATGCAATTCACACAAGCTGCTTTATACATTTCCAGCCTGTTGCTATTGTAGATACGCAGCAAAGTCCATCTTGAATTATGGGTGTAAATGCCAACCCCTTTCCTGAAAGACTTTATTCTTCAAATCCTAATTACCACCAATAGTCCAGTCTATTTAATTTTTCTCTTGGTTGCTTTATTTGCCTTTGTTTATTTGGGGAGGGTTCATGTAATGAGAAATGTTCATTATTGTTTGTAGAAAATGTAGTGGGTTTATGAGGTGTTGGCAAACACTACATATGTTTAAAACTGTACTGCTAACTTAAAGTTGAAGTCTCTGAAACTGGGATTTATCCACTGTATAGAAATTGGAACCTGGATACTTATGGTAAATTCTCTTCAGTGGGGAAATGAAAAAAAAAGCAAGCAATGAAACCATAAAAGTTTGAGAAAGACTTGATATTTGACTGCATCCACAATTTAGCTGGAGTTGATAGCATGTGCATTTTATGTCATCCCGATATGTTTTCTCCAAACTAGATACCCAAGTTTAGAATTTTGTGTTTCAGAGGTGCTATATTTTGAATCATAGGCATGTAAGAAGTGGAAATTAAGGTCAGTCCTAAAAGTAGAGCAGATTGGATGTTAAGACCTAACTAACTTGGGAGTCTCTGGAGATGTCAGAAAAGCAGTGAAACTACTAATTTTCCTTTTTTTTTTTAAATCAACCGTATTGAGCATAATTTATCTACTTTAACATTGACCCATGTTAAATGTCTGATTTTGTGAGTTTTGATAAATGCTTGTAGTTTTTTTATTTTATTTTAACATTTATAATTTTTTAAAAATTTTTAGACAATAATTGCCTCCCCCCACCCCCTCAGATTGAGTCCCCATAGAATTTCCTTCCCAAGGTACCCGTGCACCATCACCACCGTCCCATATACTCCTCCTTCCCTCCCTCTGATTCCTCTCCCTCTTCCTCCCCTGCAGTATGTCTCTGGTTTATAATTGACTGTTTTTCTTTGTTGTGTTTTGTACTGTTACTATTTTTTTTTTATACTGATGTCTTATTTGGTTCCCCTATATTCCTGTTATAAGTGAAACCATCCAATATTTTTTCTTTTTTCTTCTGGCTTATTTCAGTGAGCATAAGTCCTTCTAGCTCCATCCACGTTGCTGCGAATGGCATGAGTTTATCTTTTTTGATTGCTGAATAATATTCCATTGTATATATGTACCACATCTTCTTGATCCAGTCATCTATTTTTGGGCATTTGGGTTGTTTCCAGGTTTTACCTATTGTAAATAGTGCTGCAGTAAACATCGGTGTACAGGTACTTTATGAATCACTGTTTTTGTGTCCTTTGGGTAGATTCCTGGTAGTGGAATTGCTGCATTGTATGGTAGCTCCATTTTTAGTAGACTGAGGAACCTCCAGACAGCTTTCCATAGTGGTTGGACCAGTTTGCACTCCTACCAGCAATGTAGGAGAGTTCCTTTTTCACTGCATCCTCACCAACATTTGTTGTTGCTTGTTTTTTTGATAGATGCCATTCTTACTGGTGTAAGGTGGTATCTCAGTGTGGTTTTGATTTGCATTTCCCTGATTATAAGGGATGCTGAACATTTTTTCATATGCCTGTTGGCCATTTGCATTTCCTCTTTGGAGAAATGTCTTTTGAGTTCTTCCCATTTCTTGACTGGATTGTTTATTTTGTTTTTGTTGAGCTGTGTGAGTTCTTTGTATATCTTTGTGATCAGTCCCTTATCAGTTGACTGGAGTTCAAAGATTTTTTCCCAATCAGTGGGTTGTCTCTCTGTTTGGTTAATAAGTCTCTTTGGCTGTACAGAAGCTTTTCAGTTTGATGTAATCCCAGGTGTTTATCTTTGCCTTCACTACCACTGCTTTGAGTGATGAGTTGAGTGTTTAAAGATGTTTCTGAGATGTATGTCTTGTAGTGTTTTACCTATATTTTCTTCTATATGTTTTATGGTTTTGGGTCTTAGGTCCAGTTCTTTTAACCATTTTGAGTTGATTTTTGTGCACAGTGAGAGGTAGTGGTCTAGTTTCATTTTTTTGCATGTGGAGGTCCAGTTTTCCCATTACCATTTATTGAACAAAATGTCCATGTTCCGTTGTAAATGCTCATAGTTTTATAAATGACTACCCCAACCAAGATAATAGAACACTTTATCACCCTTGAAAGTTTCCTCAGACCACTTTACAGTCATTTCTCTCTTTTTACCACCACCCCTGTGAATCACTGATTTGCTTTCTTTCATTATAGTTTGCCTTTTCTAGAATGTCAAATAAATAGTATACAATATGTAGTCTTTTTTTGGTCTGTCTTCACCTGGTGTAGTTCTTTTAAATTTGATACATATTGCATTTATCAAGTTTGCTTCTTTTTAATTGCTGTAGTATTCCACTGGATGGATTTGCTACAATTTACCTACTAGTAGATGTGATTTGAAGTATCTTCAACTCTTTTGCCCATTTAATAAATTGGGTTATTAATCTTTTTATTATTTTGTTATATGAGTTCTTTATGTATTCTGGATGTTTTGTAAAGTTTCTCCCAGTCCTTGGCCTGCCGTTTATTTAATTTTTAATAGTGTCTTTCAAAGAATAGAAGTTTTAAATTTTGATAAAGTCTAGTTTATCACTTTTTATTTGTGTTTTTAAAGACTTACTTATTTATACATAGAAGAACTGGGGTATAGGTATGAGGTGCTGGCAAGGGTTGGGGCAGTGAGAGGATTCACGAGAGATAGAGTGGGGAGCAAAACAGGTAGATCTGAAAACTGCTGAGGGGAACAGTGGCAAGACAGGGCAGGTCTATTACACCATATGTGGGTTAGCTCCCTGGCTGGGGATGGAGCTCAGGCCATGGTGGTGATAGTGCTGAGACTAACTTCTGTGCCACCAAGGAGGCCCCCTATCACTTTAAATATGTGAATAATGCTTTTTGTGTTGGAAGAAATATGCCTAACCCAAGGATACAAATCCTATATATGTTTTCTTGTAGAAGTTTTCTAGTTTTAGATCTGTCTTTATACCTTTGTTAAGGCATTGTCCATGTACCTTAAATTCATCCATGTAAAGTGTGCAATTCAGTGGTTTTTAATATGTTCACAGAGCTGTACAACCATTACCGCAGTCAGTTTTACAACTTTTTTTTTTTTAAAGATTTATTTATTTACGCATACAAGAGCTGGGTACAGGCCAGAGGTGTGTGTGGTGAGAGGATTGACCAGAGACAGAGTAGGGAACAGAACAGGCAGACTGACTGAAATAAACTGCTGAGGGGAGTAGCTGTGAGACAGGAGAGGTGTGCTTCGCCATGTGGGTTGCTCCCTGACCGGCTGGGGGTTGAACTTGTGCCGCAGAGGCTGTGGAGAGCTTCTTAGTGCGGAGCTTAACCCCTTGCGCCACCAGGGAGGCCTCAGTTTTGTAATTTTTTTGTAATCTCAAAAAGAAACACCAATCTCATGAAGAAACATCCTTTAGCCATAGTCCTCTAAGCCTCCCTTTCCCTCCAATCCCAGGCATTTGCTAGTGTACTTTTTGTTATAGATCTGCCCATTCTGGACATTTCATATAAATGAAACCATATGTTTTCAAGCTTTATCTATATTATAGCATGTATTGTCAAACAACATTTATTATATGGATATAACATTTTATCTATCTGTTCTTCAATTGATAGACATTTGGGTTCTTTTTTTTTTAAATAGAGGCATGTTTTATTTATTTATTTATTTATTTGTTTGTTTGTTTTGTTTATACACGCACTGGGTACAGTCAGAAGCGCGGGAGGGTGAGAGAATTCACCAGAGCCAGAGCGGGGAGCAGAGCAGGCAGAAGGACGGAAGTACACTGCTGAGGGGAGCAGCGGGCGGCAGGAGAGGTCTGCGCGCCACGTGGGACCCTCCTCCGGTGGCTGGGGAGCAGCCGGGGATCGAACCGGCGCTGCAGAGGCTGTGGGCGGCCTTGCAACCCAGCGCTCAACCGCTGCGCCACTGGGGAGGCCCGCACATCTACACTTTTTTGTACATGAAATATATTTTCATTTCTCTGAGAATAAACCTGGGAGTAGAATTGCTGGGTTATATGGTAATTAATGCTTAAACTTTGAGAAAACGACAAATTGTTTTCCAAAGTGACTACCTATATATTAAGGTCTGTGATCTGTTTTGCTTTTTTCATATTGTGTGATACAGGGATCAGGATATCTATTTTAGCAACCTTTGTTGAAAGGAATATCCTTTCTCCACTGAAATGCCTTGGCATTATTGTTGAAAATCAATTGAAGCAGGCCTCCCCTGGTGGCACAGTGGCTGAGCGCTGGGCTGTGAAGCTGCCCACAGCCTCTGCATTGCCGGTTCGATCCCCGGCCACTGGCTAGGGTCCCACATGGCACACAGTCCTCTCTTGCTGTGCCTGCTGCTCCCCTTAGCAGTGTATTTCGTCAGTCTGCCTGTTCTGTTTCCCGCTCTGGTGAATTCTTTTACCCTCCCGCGCTTCTGACTGTACCCAGTGCTTATATAAATAAATAAATAAATCTTTA